GAGGCTGATGGAGAAGAGTCCAAGGCGGGGCGGTGCAGCCTCCGGAAACCTCTCCAAACCTCGAATCCTTCACAAGAAGTACGAAGAAGTTTTGCTATGGAGTTTGCATGGCATGACACCAGTTTAAGAGCATGTGGCTGTCAGTTCGTGTCAGTCTGTCAGTCATCCAATCGCTTTCCACTACAGTCGGCTTGGCGGATACATGAGCAAGAACATTTGCTCGCATAAACTTGAACCAGTGGCGGTCTGCGGTACACCCGAGGGATCACTTCTCTATATGGGCTTCAACTTGAGCTTTTGGCATGCGTGCGTGCAGAGAACCGTGCAAATGACGGAGGCAGTCCTGGCTGCACGCCTTGCAAGGGCCCAGCAACTTGCCATTTCAACCCGCTTGCAGTTGAACACTCTGACTTGATGTTCAAAGTTAGTACTCGGCAGCTCGGGCAATGCACCCGACTTGGAGTCGCCTAAGAAGCCAAGGCACTGATCAACTTGATCATAGCAGTTGTAGGAAGTCTCACGGGCTGCAGCAGTCTCGCAGAGCCGNNACTTGATTGATACGTGTTCAAAACAAGGCAACTGGCAACAGGGCTCTCCGGCACCAATATTTTTCATCATGCGTAAGGTACGGTGGATTGAATGTTGTTCCAGTGTTTTGGAAGACAGTGTGAGAGTGTCAGGCACCACAGGGCCATGTTACCGGGATGGCAATAATCCTTGCTGTTACAGCATGGCAAGAAGCTTTGGGCCCTGGAGGCCAGAGGCCCTGGAACTGAGGCGCGCTGCGGCTCGCGAGCTCGGAGCCCCCGCCCCGCGAGCCGGGCGGTACACAGCCATGACAGGCCACACATAGACGTGGCTTTTGAAGATGATTTTTTGGGTACAGATGTGCACATGACTCAGAAGTCTCCATGAGTCTGTTGGCACCATTTTGGCGCTCTGGAGGCCCGCCTGCCAAACCGGCACCGGCGCCTGTGCCTGCGAGCAATGCAACCAGCGAACGCATCAAGGTGCCTAGGAGGGCTTTGAGGAATCTCATCCATGAAGTGGCAGGCTTGCTTCGTGCTAGATTAACTAGATAAGACATCTTCCGTGCAACAGCTGCAGCTTGTGGCTTGTGTCGCTCTCCTTTGACTGCCTTCTGCGTCTCCTGTGAGACTTGACCAGGCCCTGGCTCAAGCCGCCCAGAAAGAACTCAACGAGGGCGAAGAGGATGGATGCTACTTGCCTATGCTGCCTTCCCTTTCCCTTTAACCGCTTTCAGGAGGATGCTCCAGATGCCTGGGCTTTGCGGCAACTGGAGCTGGGCCTCCACCGTCGCAGGGGTGGAGAGGTAGGAAAAAGATGTCTCGGATCGCATTTTTGGGGATGGCTTAAGGCTGAAGCTTTGTTGGCACAAGGGCTTGATGCCGTTGCTAAAAATAGGTTTGAATGGGGTAGTGCAGTCATGTGCAAGGACTACAGGACCACTGGCTCTACTTGGTTTTAGCCATCTGTCGGCACTCCATTCGCTTGGCAGGCCGCGGAAGTCACAGAGACCTCCTTGGACGAGGTGGCTGCACTTGGTGAGTTTATGATGATTTCATGCAGTTGGTTTAAGCTCTGGCTTGCTGACCGCGGGTTTTGCCACTTATAATTTATCAGGTGGGTTGCGGGATGTATAGGGCTTGGTGCCAGCACGTGGCAATTGTGAATTTCTCTAGGTCGGAATGTGTGGGTAGTAGCCCGAGGGTTTTTCTGTGAGAATAATGTGAGGTGCCCTGTAGGAGAGGCCGGGTGGTCAAGGAAGCCTCTGTGAGGGTGTCTGGTTCGCTAAGATTTCAGAGGTTATTTGCTGGGTTTGCGGTGAGACTGTGAGACGCTTGCCCCGGCCCGCCCGCCGCCCCTTCTCCCCAATGCATGCGGTGAGGTGTTGTAAGGTCTTCTGTGAGCGGCCCGGACCCTCCCTCGGCATTCGTGACGCTCCGCCGGTAAAACAATACTGCACTTCAGGCACCCAGACCCCTGCATTCCACAGTGCTGCACAGGCTTGATTGCCATCTTACCGAGTTCTCATAAGGTTCCTGAGAACCGGTGCTTTTCGCGCAGACTTCTGACAAGAAGCCTCCCAAGCCATAAACTCACGCTGCTACTAACCTAAGATCCTGCAAGACATGGCCAGGAGATTGCGAAGTTGAGCAGCAGAGATGGTGTTGCACAGGCAGGCTGTGGATGGCTGTGGCACAGTATTGGCCTCTACGGTTGCGAAGGGCTCTCGCCGATGCAGGTCCGCAAGGCTGCCGAACGGGTGGCTAAAGGCCATGATGGAGAGGCTGGACTGAGGGCTGCCTTCGGACCACTCACAAGCCGAAAATGTTGGCAGAGCACTGGCTCACAGGTTTCCCCTGCAGTAGTCTCACCAGATTCTCGCGAAGACCTGTGCTGTCGCAGCGAAGCAGGCTGCCACACGTGCAAAGGCAAGCGCCGCTTGGCTGCAATTCTGAGCGCAGCGACGGGTGCTGGGCGGGATGATACCCAGACCCTGCAGAAGGTCCTCCATGACCATGATGTAATGGCTCTGCCTGTCTCGAGAGGCTTAGAACGCTCGCGATATGTGTTGGATTGTGTTTGCTTAGTCCGCCCGACTAACTGAATGGCTGAAAAAATTCTCGTAGCGCAGTTGCAGACCCCAGTAGCAAACGGACGCTGCTCTTTCTTGCTTGCAGCAAATGCTGTACCAATCTTCTGACAGGGACACAGACATGGACACTGACTGGGGCATGGAAAGGACACTCATTATGACACCGGCCGCGACACGACCGGGCCACCGACCGGGATACCGACGAAAGCACAGACCAGAAAACCGACCAGAATGACAAGACCGACCGGGACACGACCAACATAGCGATCAACATGATAAAGGAGATGGCGACCGAGACACCATCTGGACACCGACCGGGACAACCGAGACAGTGACCGAAGCACGGGACACGAAACAAGACGGCGGCTATGACACGAGTGCGACACCGACCAGCACACGACCTGGCGAGTCGCGACACCGTCGTGTCGGTGGTTGCGGTCAGGGTCCCGGTCATCTCGTGGTGTCCGGGTCGTGGTTCGGCTAGTGTCCCGTTTTTGCCCGGCCTGCGACCGGGACGCCGGCCATGCAGGACACGACCGGGATGCGAATGGGAAACCGACGGGAAGCGACCACGACAAGACCCAGACTCCGACTGCCCGGACTTTGGGTGCACCTACAACATTGCAGTAGCCGCATTTTACGAGGCAACTGATGGACCCCCAGACTTTGTGGCTGTTGTGGAATTAGAATGCATATTACATAATATGTGTATGGCCTATCCGTGTGCGCTCATCTTCCTCCCCGATGCTTGCAAGATAAAGGCCCCGCAACATTCCCAAGCAAGCCACGTACCAAGACTGTAGATGAAAAGGTCAGGGCAGCAACACACTCCGCAGGCTCCAGAGCGGTTGACACTCGACACGAGAGAAGTCAAGGCGGCAGGCAGATAGTCAGAGATGGAAAGGGAGCCAAGGTCATCCCTGCAGCTTCCGAGGCGATGGCCAGGTGGGGCACCCACTAATGAGCCGTCGCATTGCAGTGTCAGCTGTTGTTGAGGGTTCGAAACGGTCGTAACATCGGCAAACACGGTCCTTACCAAGTTACTATTTATTCTGATTTCGTCTCTACTCCACCTCGCGTCCGGTTCCGTGATGCAGAGGCTGCTCACTGCTCATCAAACGGTCCCCGATCTTTCACTGCACTTTCACTTGCCATGCAGGCTCTGGGGGACGATTAAGGGCCTCGAGGGCTCAGCCGGAGATCGCGAAGCGAAGCTGGCAGCTGCTCGGATTGATACGAGCATGAATCAAGCAAGTCTCAGCGCATGCTGTGAGAGCCAGCAACCGATCTGAGGAGCTTACGGCACAGGCTGAGGCTGCCAGAGACGAGCTGGCAGAAATCGCATCATGTCTGCGACCTTCCGTGGTTAGAACTTCCGGGATGTTGAAGGTTTATTCTGTGGGATGTCAGGTTATTCGTCATGTGTCGGAGCGTGTGCTGCCAAACTCGCTCGAGCATTGCAGCTTCAAGACGTGCTTTGCGGGCTCATGGTTTTATCGAAGCATAGATAATGGAAGTTGTCTTGACTATGATGCTACTCTGATTTGTAAGTCGCCGCGAACCTCAACGTAGTACTCCTGTACGTTTACAGGTACGTTTCGATTGGAAACCTGGACTGAGGTGTGTTGTGTGAGACTCATTAGGTTGCCTGTTCTCGGATCAGAACGTCAGAGCAGGGCCACAGCCCATAAGAGTTCCTGGGCTCCTCTCCGACTTGGAGATCAACTTGCTTGGGACAGCATTCCGTCTGAGACGGGCCCAGGAGCGGCGGGACAAGGAGATCTCGCGCATGCTTCGGAGCGTCCAGGAGCCACTTGGCCTCAGAATTCTGGATGTGATTTGGGATCCTGCCGACATGTCTCTCGGAAGCGGAGCCTTGTACCATCTTGTACCGTAACATTTGTTGTTGCCCTAGTCGTGCTTGCCAGTACGGCAGAGTAGCATCCCTGTCATGCCGGCTGCCTCGCTTTTTCAAGCCAAAAGACGGCTGCCAGTTAACAGTGCGGAGTTCAGAGCGCTCGCAGACCTAGCGCTCCCATGCCAGGCTCGAAGAGCTGGCCTGGTCCCTCGGAGGGCTCTTGGATGAGAAGTCACCCAAATGCAAGCAGGCCAGGGCACTTGGCGCCCATTGCGCCCGGTTCTCCAACCCCTTCCTGTTTTTGGACATTGGGCCTTCTCTGTAAACTGTAGGCTTGGAGCTACCGTCGCTAGTCTCTCACCAATTTGAAGCCAGGCCTCGCGAATGTTGGCGCAGATTGAGGAAGACTTCTCCCGGCGGCGAACCAAGCGACGGGCCAAGGACACCCTGCTGCTCGGTATGACTTCCTTGGCACTGCGCCTCAAGACTTCCTCAAGCTTTATCACTTACTAGGGCTTGTCGCGTGCGTGTTGCATGCAGACCTGAAGCTTGCGTGCTCCTTCTCTGGTTTGGCCTTCTTTGCTTGGCTGCATCTTTCCTGCTGCGCCGCTGCTAGCACCACTCGTCCCCGCAGACGATGAGCAAATCCAACCACTTGACTCTCACAGGACATGGCGGAAGCTCTGCAGGAGACTGGGGCCAGCTTGACATACCGACAAGAAGAAGACGAAGCAGGGCTCTGAGACACCATAGAGCTTGGACAGATCACCTCGATGGTCAGCAAGTTAAAGAAAGGCAAGACTTACATGTCCTGGCGCCCTAGGCAGACATAAACTTGAATGACAGAATAGCGATGTCCTCAGACTAAACGAGCAGAGAGGCCCAACCACGCGCTGACCAGGCCGAAGAAGGAAGCGACGTCGAGAAGTCCGAGCAGGCCAGCCTCATTTCCAGGCTGCAAGAACTTGCTCCCGTCGCCTCGGATCCTGTCAGCCGGTGTAGTTTGGCTGCAGGCCTCAGCGCGCCGACGCCAGCGTCGCTCGCAGAGCAAAGGAGATGATGGCTGGGCCGCTGATCGAAAAGGGAGTTCGGTTGCTTTGTCTCCACAAAGCCGATTCGTCCTGGCATGTCCTGATCGACTTGGTGTGGAATGTGGTGTCCCTCCCGCCGGGTGAGTTGCAGCGACCAAGGACACCTCAGACCTCAGCGAGGAGGATGGCAGCGAATCTGAAACAATCTGAACATGCTTGTTCTGACCTGCTCCAGCAAACAAGCAAGCAGAGATGTAATGCGTTCGGTGACGGGTGCCTCCAGACAGCATGCAGGGACGGGTTTTTAAGCGACAAGCCAAGGTCTGGAGCAGACCAGGAAAGATCGTTCCATTTTCTCTGCTGCCGTGGTCTGGTTGCAATTCGAATCCTGCACGGATTTGTGCAATAGAGCACGACGGGGGAAGACGTAATGCCCAAGGTGCAGAAGCAGTTGCTGGATGATGTGTCTGAAGAGTTTGCCAGCGCAAGATCTGTCCTGAAGGCACGATGCCCAGACACAGTATGTTGGCAATAACGCAGCTGGTGATCGGGCCGCTGCCAGCAATGTTCCAACTCGAAAGGCTCTCAAGTCCGCGAAGAAGAAGCTGCAGGACGAGTACCGCCAGGCATGCAAGCATGCACAGGTGCCACGTAGGTGGCTTAAGTGACTTAGACATGTCAAGCCTTGAAACTGAGCGTCGAAACTTCTACCAAAACAGCAGTTTTTCTCCGGCCCCGTGAGCAAAAAGAGGGTGCCCGACTGCTCATGGTCGCAGGCTTTCGTCCACTTGGCTTTACCAGAGGTCTTCGGCTTCTTCGTTGACTTTTCCACCTTGTGGTGCCTGGCATCGATTCACGCACAGATACCACGGTGTCCGGATCGCCAAATCCCTAGGTCCTAGACTCTCTGAGGATCAAGACAGGCTATGCACATGCTCCCGCGAAACATGCATGATGATGGATGGCTCATCTCACACACGTTGTCTTGTGTACCGATCAGACTGCTTAACTAGTATGTTTCTCTGGTTTGGTACGATTGCGCATTCCGAGCCAATCGTTTCTCGGGTGTCTTCACTCACGTGGTCCCAGATCTTGCAGGTGGGACCCTTTGCGTCTTCTCGCCGGCGCTGATGATGTGATTTTCGGACCGCGGAAGGCAAGCAAAAGCTGATAGTGTGGATGAATTTGAATCTGGAACTCTGTCTACCCCTGCCGCACCATGCCATGCAGATCTGCCGAAGAAGTGCCGGCCACTCTCTGCGCAAGGCGATTACATCAACACAGCTGGAGACGTTCGACTGGTTCGAGGACCGGAGCCGATCCTGTTCCACATCAGCCTCAAATTCCATCCGGCCCCACTTGCAGGACATGGCTGCCTTCACGGAACTCTTGGGCGACGATGACCCCGACGGGGAGCCGCTTGGGCATGCAGGTGGCATGCAAGAGCCGCGAATTGTCAAGCGAAGCGTCAGTGTAGGATTCGTGCTATGCCTCTGCTCGTTCCTGAATCATGTAGTGGCACTTATGATGCTTTTGCTTACACTAGCGACAGGATCGAGCACTCGCCTCGTCAGTGAAAATCCTGTGTCGAGAGTTGCGGGACATTTCTCAACGAGGTTGGTGCCAAAGATCGTGCAGCAGTGCATCTTCCCCGAGGTGGCACGACGCCTGCACCTAGCTCGCACCGAAAGGGTTCCGATCGAAGTGGATCTGATGAGTAAGGCAATGCTCGATAGTATCGACAAGCAGCAGGGTTTCGCCTCACAAATCGTCCTGGGCCCAAAAATGGGAAGCAGTTAATGGGTAATGCACATCTGTCAGCGGGCATCGGTCCGGGCAGGCCCAAGAGCCAGGAGCGCAACTCCTTGCATGGAGACGAACAACGAATAGCGGCTTCCAGATGCTTCAGATAGGAGGTTGTAAGCCTCGTCGACTGAGACGGAAACCTAGGCGCCATTGCTGGGACGTGACTTCGATGCCCCAGAGCCAGCGTGCAGCAGCTTTGCCTCCAGACCTGCAATGGATGCACTCGCGCTTCGATCAACCCAGTCACACGACGGACCCCCGACATCCAAGGCTGGACGAATGTTTACTTTTCGAGGCCGGTCTGTTCACAGACGGTCTTGCACAAACAGATATGGGCACATGATGGTGCATGCTTGAGGCTTATTGTTGTCCACCCGGAATCCAGCTGTATGCTCTTGCGTCCGAAGCTTTCAGTGCCCCCTCTTCGACGCACAGACCTTGTACGGGTTGCTTAGCGGAGGCGTCTTCCATACGGAATGCTTGCCTCGAGTAGTATATTACTCATTAGTAGTCGAAAGAACGGAGGTCGGCGAAGGGGCAGAAGCCTTCGGCGAGTTGGCCGAGGTACGATGTGCTGCGTGTTTATGCGTGGTTCACCATGTCAGGACACGTGTGTTCGTAGTGACAAGTTTGCGTAACGAGAACTGTCGCGAACGAGGGTCGAAGATGCTTTCGCTGTGTTCGCAGCAGAGGCCCGAGTGCGCAGTTCGACTTAGTTTTATTTCGTTTCTCCCACCTCTCCCACCCGGAGTGACAGAGTCCGGCTAGTTCGTTCGCTCCTCCTGTGAAGCCTTTTTCCGTCTTGTGTTTACGCAGCCACGAGCCAAGCTCGAGACTTCAGTTCGCCACCGTCCGGAAGAGAAGAGTGGACGAAAGAGGAGCTGAGCTTGTCATTCGCAGAGCACCCTCGAAGCGAGAAAGCCGTGAAAGACAGGATAACTCAGGGAAGCAAGCTGCAGACCATTGATTGCGTTCAATTACAAGCCTTAGACTACGTAGACCTACCCCAAAGGCGGCTGTCGAGCGGCTGCGAGCCGGGCTGCGGACCTTGGCGCCCGCCACTAGCCTTTTCCACGGTACTTTGCAAATCAGGTTGCTGACTCTTGTGTTCGTGGAGTTATGCTAGCATGCTAGTCGCACCGGGCGGCAAGATCGCAGTCTGCAGTACGACCTGTGCCTGTTCCCACCTGCTCGAGTGCTTGCCTGCTGCAGTACTGCGAAGGAAGTCTTCGTACAAGCAGCTCAGGCAGGTCCTGCACAGCCGAGTCGTTTTATTCATCCCAGCTGCATACTAGATTTGTGCATGCTTCTAGCCTTCTTTTGCATGGTGCTTGTCGAACGAAATCCAAGTAGCAGGTGGGTTACCAGATGTTGTCAGCTGCCGATAGGCCAGCGGAACTATTCCCCCTGTTAAAGCGTTGAAATCTACTTAAAAACGGTGACGCCGTCTGGTCGGATCAGCTTCAAGGCTGATCTTCCTCCCCGAGCATCCAATGAGAGGAAGCAATAATCTCGAGCACATTACAGCTTGCACTCTTTTCATGCTTGCTCGCTGCCTTTGCGGACGTCCACACATGCAGGCACGGTTAGGAGAGGGGGATCAGTGTTTTCGCGCACTACTGGTTACTGTTTGGTTGCTGACAATTGTTCTGTCCTCGATTGATTTCCCGCGTGGAGGTCACCACTTGGTACGCCTCTGCTGCTCGCAAGCGTTTGCTCCGGCGGAGCTGCAAGCGGCTTCAGCAGCATTCTAGGGCAGTGGCCGCCCCTTATGTGGGAGTGCCGCATTTCCAACTGCGAACTCGAGGTCGCGCAGTGAAGTAAATATATGGAGCTCCCACAGACTGCAGCCGAGGATTGCCACATGCGCTGTTCAACTGGAAGGGCGCATTCCGGATGAGAAGCCACTTTGCATGCCGATATCAAAAACCTTGAGGTTTACGCTGCATTCCAACATCCAATACGACGCTTCCGAGCGCAAGCAGCCAACAGAGCCCGAACGCAATGATAGAGCCTGTAGCATGTAGTTTTTCAGTCATTCAGTCCGTGCATTTTCAGAACCTCGATTCTGGAAAGCTGAAGCACCAGGCTTGCGCCGATCATCCTGCAAGACATATTCACGACCCGCGCCCTGAATGCACACGTGTGCAGATGGTGTGTGGCTGCCCCTTCAGCAAATGTCGAACGTCCAAAGGATAGTATTCGTGCGTTATGATGTGAGCAGGGAAGCACACTAAAGTTGCGCTGGTTGTCATGTTTGCTTTGAGATCGGGTGACTGACTCGTGAGTGCCAGAGCAAAAGATCCGGCTGTTCCCCCCCCCCCATAAGGCTGTGCAGTTGCTTCGACAGTTGATTTAATCATCGAGCCGGCATGCAACAGCACTGGCTGCAGCGCACCACTCTAAAGTGCTCAAGATTCTGAAGATCGTATCTGGTTCAGAAGCCTTGGAGCTCACAAGAAAAGATCTCAGACATGCCAAGTCCTCTTCCTAAGTGTTTCTCGCGCGCTCCCTGAAGTGCATCCAAGGTTTAGCACCGCACCTGCAGGCCGTTGGGATTTTTGGCGTGAGCTCACCAAGCATGTCATCCCCAGATCTGTGTAGGAACATGTAGGAACTCATGGGCAAGCCCTTTTCGGCGTTGCCGGAACTATACTGCCTCTGGGAATTTGGAGCTCGTGTCGGCACGTGTCGGGCGGTTGCTCGGTTTCGAAACTGGACATGATGAGCTAGGGCCGCTAGGGGCATGAGCTTGCTGAATGCTGCAGGCCCCTCGGCTAAGACCAGAGGAGATGGACCTCGTGGAGCCCTGTCTCAGTACACGGTGCGAGGGTATTTCTGCACGCTCTCGTCATCCTCTGATACCTCATGCTTTTTGATTGCCATAGTCTCCTGCCTCTCTTGGCACGATGGTGAGACCGTGGGCACGTGGGGCGGCTTTAAAATGGCGGTTGCCTGCGTTCTCTGATATGCACTGATTTTGCCTGTTTGTGTTGGCATAAGGAGCAAAGCGACGGGCCGTGTATGTTTCCCAGATAAGCTTGTTCGTGTAGAACTACCAGTTTTACCTGCGGCATGATGTTACAGCTGAGGAGAGATTTGTGGATGCACTCCCAGACAGGCACTGGAATTCCACTCCCATGTGGCCCATGGGTTCAGGTTTGGCGTGAACATGCCGGAACTTCTCGCAACCTCTTCACATGAGTGTAGTTGGCTCCTTTGCGCAGGTGGTTCGAGAATGGCCTCCCCCAGGCCTTGAGACCACTTCGAGACGTTCTAGGACATGCTGCAGCAGTAGATCTACCTTGCCCGAACGCCATCTCTAGCTGACCTTACATGTCTTTCAAATCCAGTAGCCCATCAACCATCAGGAAAGAGAGTGGAGAGATCAGACAGTTGAAAAATGTTGAAAATGCAACTGTCGAAGTCGCGGCGCATGTAATTACCAACAGACACAAGCAGTAGTTACACGCAAGCGAAAAAGCTGAGAGAAAGAGTGCCTGAAATACGAATGATACCGAAAATGCATGAAGATCGCGGCGTCGTTGGGAGCCTTACAGCGGCTTCACGAGGCCTCCTTCGTAAAAAAAGAGAAGGAGGGTCACATGCGAGAGGAATTGCCTGCATGGGCGCAACCACGATGACCCTAATTGTTTTCCGTGGTATCTGTGACGGTCGGCACGCCAGTCGAGTAATGTCGAGTAGGTTCTTGATGAATGAAGTGAAGTCATAAATCACGGGCGGCAACTGTTTCCGACATGTGATTTGCATGGGTCTGGCCGGCCTTTCCCAGGACCTCGGGCTCCGCCCAACGCCGAAGCAACGAAATCTGCAGCCGCCGCAGCACTTCGGAAAATGCGCTGAGCCCTGGCAGAGATCAGATCATGTGGCTGTCTGAACCCGCAAACGGCAGTACTGTGGCAGCTGAGGCTACGACGAGGCCCAAGCGCTCGAGCTTTGACAGTGGCCTGCAGCGCAAAAGTCAGCTCGACAAGTTGCGGCAGGGAAGAGTCAAATGAGTTGCCAAGGAGCACGTTACATGGCGAGAGCAGGCTGATCTCTTTCTCTCAAACTCTCTTTGCCTCGCTATGCTTCTCTCTTTCTGTCCATCCCTTCTCTCTTGCTCGTCGACTTGCTTTGCAGCGAGGACCGTATGTGCTGCAGTGAAAGCGCTTGATCTAGCGTATGATCGTGAGACTGCACCGTCGCCGCATGCGATTTTTCGAGCTCCAGGTTTTCCGGCAGAAGCATGGCGAACGAGCCACGACCATACAAGCATCGGGCTGTTACTTTCCTAGTGCAGGAAGCAAGCCGTAGACGACCAGAATCCAGAACGGAGTTGATGCCCATGCCAACGTGTTTCGGACAGATAAACAGCAGCCAAAGCAGTATGTACGATATTGCAGCCTGAACTTATCGCGTTTGAACCCATGCTGGAGCCGGTGACCAACACGGGCATCATTCTGCCTCTGCATTCAAGCGGTCGACAGGCACCACCGCTCGTACAACTAGCCGACCCAACATGTTTGGATACGTTGCGGCATCCCAGTCCGATCCCACTGTCAGCAAGGGGCCTTCCCCCAACCAGGAAGTCTTATTTGGTTCGCCAATCACTATTTCCACGGCGTGCTTCATTATCCCCGCGATTGCACCAAAGGAGCAGTGAGCCGCTTTTGCTGAGCCCTCGCCAAAGCGTGGGCCACATCCCGTCGAACCCTGGGAAGTTGGCCCAGGCCGCTCAACAAACCATTGGCCTGCGCGCACGTTCACCTACGAACTGCGTGGCATCTGCTCCGGCACCTCCGGCACCTGCTCCGGTGCAGACGAATGCGTCTGCGACGAATGGCTATATCCGACCAGCTTCCCCTCTGTTGATTCAGAGGCGGCAGGTTGCGGTGGATAGCCAGTCGACGCCTCGTCTGCACAACGGACAAGTACACAGTCAGAGTCGGGAGCCACTGACTTTGATGCATCCCGTGCCACGAGCTCCGAGCCCAGTCGGAAGTCCCGGGCGGTGTTATTGTCAGGTGGCAAGTCCCTATCGTGCCTTTCGGGCCGGTCCTGACACCTTGGCTCAGCAGCTACAGGCATTGCAGGAAGCCAAGAAAATGGCAGCTGCCCAGCAGGTGGAGAGTGAGCAGATGATCGCCCAGCGACAGGACCAGCTTCGAAGAGACGCTTGATTGCATAGATGCTGCAAGATGCCTAACTGTCTAGAGGTGTACGGATGCCACAGCCATGGGGCCACGGTTGCAGCAGTATTGGCAGTCACGCAGTCGAAATTCCTGTCCGGGCTGCGGCCAATGTTGCTCTGCAAGACCTTGTCGTATAGTGGAAAGTATGGGCAAGCATTGATTGGCTGACATGTGGTGAACGGCCGGGAGCGACCTAAGGAGACATACAAAGCTTTGTGCGGCAGCGCGCTCTCAGAGGACGCTTGCCTGAAGTCCTGCGCCTGAGCTCACGTGGCGTTCTTGCAAGTTCAAGTTCAGATGTTGTTGCGCAGAGGTGCGGAGGTTTCAATCGCCGAGCACGCACATGCCTCATGCATACGTACGCACAGAGGTTTGTGGTGGGTGTTCGTTAATGCTCTCTTGTCAGGGGGAGCGGGGCATTGTGTTCGGGTCAGGAAGTGAGAGCGAGTGCGTATATAGTATGTGTATATGTATGTAATGGGAACTCTTGATTAACAACCCCCCCCCCTGCGCAAGGTATATAGGTCAGCTGGTGGCCTGATCCGACCCCCCCTCTAATAAGTTTGGCGGGTTCCGGGCTTGCCACCCAACACTCCTAGGGTTTGGCAGGACAGGTAGGGCAGGTACGTACAGTCGACAACTGAAGTCGTGACGTTTGTTTGTGGAAGTCGCCAGACACTGGGGGAAAGCACGAGCATAAGTTGTCACGGAGTGGCAAGCCACGAATTTGCATTCCCGTCATGGGACCGCCGTCCCGGCGGCCTTAAATCGTTTAAAGTTGGGGCTGAGGGCCGAAACCCTCACCCTAAACCCTCCTCGGACCGAACCTGCCATGCCTGCTGAGCGCGAGTGTGTGAGTCGAAACCCTCCTCACGCTAAACCCTCAACAGTCAAGCAAAAGCAATAACAAGAATCGATTGCTCTGCGGCGGCCGGATTATTAATCAGGGGGAGTTGCCTTGCCTGGGCTAAACACTGACTCAAAGAACAAACGTCCTTGTAACAGGAACGACACTCAATTCGACTCGCACTCGAGCCTGCGGAACAGTATAGCAAGTTGAGGGAGGCTGAACTTAACGAGTTTGACCAAGACCACATGTGCGCAACGGAATTCCTACCAGTCTTGTACAGTCTTGGTACAACCCTTCACGAAGGGGCGGAGATTCGAGACGACATGACTGCTGTCTGGCCTCTCGGAACCTTATTTCGGTCAGCTCGAAGCTCTTGAACGGCAGGCAGACCGAGAAGTCGCCTTCCGAGACCAGTTCAATGAGCATCCAAATACTCTCTCAAGAGTCAACGAACGAGCTCGTCCAACATCTTAGAACGGCTCATAACAATGAATGCTCAGACTGTTATGAAGAGTCACCTGAAGAACAAACTTCTTGAGTGTCAAGACACATTTGAGCCAGTTGTTCGACGATGTCTCCGGCGATCCGAATGACTCACCCCCAGGTCCCAGGTAACGATCCGAGACCAGGCGAACTCATGCCTACTCCTCAATTCCCCCCTGTCGCGAGGCTGTGTGCGACAGCAGTCACGGGGCGGGATCCACATGACAGTCGTGGATGGGATCGTCATCGCGATGTAAACATGTCAACAGTCGCTTGCAGACCCGGTTGGCACCAGAACAGGCAGAGGGCGGGCGACGAGTGTCAATGAAATGATCCGCGTGACAGACAGTGCTTCCTTGCACAGCAGAGAACCGCACCAGAGCGAAGGCCATACCAACCACAGGGACAGTGTCACGTTTTGCAAGGGGAAAAGGTTATAGCATAGCAACGATCACAAGGGTATACCACTACAGATAACTGCAAACATACAGTACCTGAGTGACGGCAGTGCTTGAGACATCATCGCCGCGTCCGGGTGCAAAGACGACACCTGCTATGCCCTCCTCTTCTTCTGGGACCATACAAAAGCAGAGCGGCCGGGGAGAGCAGGGACGGGAACGCCAGTCTCTGTGTACACATGCGCATATCGTCGTAGCTATTTAGTTCTGCATTGTGTTTTAATTAGATGGGTGTTCAACGCCATCGGTTTTGACGGTGCTTGCTTGCTGTCAACCCGTAGACGACCAGTGAGCTGGTCGGTTTTGGCCGAGACGTCCCTGTCCATGCGCTTATGCTCTTCAACTTTGAGCCCGACAGTGCTTCCACAGCTTGCCTGGCAACTGAGCCAAGAGACGTGCCGATTCAGGTGTCGTTGCAGTTGCAACGAACTGATGACAAAAAGACCACTTACAGGATGCAACGTATGCAAGTGAATCATCACAAGACTTACTCCAGCCAGGCATTTGTAGCAGGCCTGGCCATTCCATGATTCGGCGATCATACATAGTCGTGTACCCTATCGGGACAAGCTAGTTGGTGAACGGTTTGCTGCTCATGGACTTGTGGATCTGCTAGCACTGGACCATCAGGATGTCAGTCCAGAGGTTGCCACCAGATCCTTGGCGCAGACCGTGCGGCGACCAGCCAGCATTCGAGTTTCGTTCTGCGCGTGGGGTTTCCCCAGTACAGGATCGCAAGCTACGGGAAGTGCTGACGGATACTTGGTGGTTCCGTAAGAGTAGCAGTCCCACCTGACCTTGCTGCAAATGAGTTCCTTGCATTCAGCCCAAGATTGGCGCAGCGGCTGTTCTTGAAACTGTTCCGAACTTCGAAAAAGGTCGAGCGTTAGACAGCCGAGGCAGTGGCCTTTGCCGGAGAAGCCGTGGCATGCAGACTGCGATCGAAGCTTGGCCCAATGTTGTAGGATTGAAGATAGGGCTTTCCAGTTGAAGCCTCGTTCCTTTTGGTCCACCTGAGTCTACCTTCACCCGGAAGGGCTTTGTGGGATCAAAGTCTGCAACCATAAGAAAGGATTATCTCAAGCCCAAACTTGGCGGACGTGATCCGACCTCGGAGTAAATGCTGTAGTCTACTCTAGCCCATTTGATACAATACTGCGTGAATTCTAGGTCCTCTAATTAGTAACGCGATGCCCCCGATCTTAGTTTTGGTTGGCGAGCCTTTTCCTGACGTGCCTCGGTTCAGCGCAGCTATGTATCTCAGGCGGGGAGGTCGCGGCCCTCCACCAGGCTTCTGAGGACGGGTGGGCTCCAGCTCCATTGCTCTCGAAATTAGCATGCTGTGAAATGCTGTGAGACTCTTCGGTCATACCAGATGTCACCAGAGATATCAAACAGGGGTCTTCTTTGATCTTCTTTGTATTCATGCCCCAGAATGTGGGAGGCTTGCTCAGCACGCGCTGGCAGAAGTACTATTTGGGTACAAGCGCTGCTGTAAGATGGCTAGGAGCATGCCGCAGGACAGCGCAGATCAAGTCCCGGAAGAGCTTCCCAGCGAGTCAAGATCGATTTCTCCACTCAGGGACTATCGAGACCCTTCAAGCCCAGAGGATTCATTACCAGAAGCCACAGAGCCCGCTTCTGCCGGACCGAAGGCGATGGAGAGGGCCAAGGTAATTTCCCCGTCGGCTTCCATTCCTGCGCACAAGTCTTCCGGAAGAGTCAGCATTGGGCGCACTGGACGGCCTGCTCCCTTGTATCTTCCACAGGAAGATGTCCATCGATGTTCCCACGAGTTGAAGACAATCGCTCAGGGGATATCAACGATACACCTGCGTGAGCTTCGGATGCTCAAGCGCCCTCCTGCGGCAGTGGTGACTGTTCTTGAGGCTTTGAAAGTCATCTTGGGCGAGGGCCAAACCGGTGGCTTCAAGAAGCTGCTGTCCGACTCTCTGCCACAGAGGCTGGAAACTTTCGATCCATCCTCATTGAACACGCAGCAAGCTTCTAAGCTAAAGTCGTTGCTCGGTTCCGGAACCATCCATGCCGAATCCATGTCGAAGATGTGCCAGCCTTGCACAAACTTGACGAAGTGGTGCGATTGCATCTATGGGTTGTTGCTCGGCGAAGTACGAGATGGCAGCAGACATTTGACCGAGGAGGTAATGGGGCGCAGGAACACTGACTCTTCCAATTCTCACGGCACACGTAGCCACACAGATCTTCACGACCGGCAGACAAGCAGGCATGCCGGTCTCTTGCATGTCGAACCTGACTTGTCTAAGTTAAGCAAGGAAGAGCTGGCATCAGTACATGAGCTCACTGTGACCAAACCTGGTATAGGCTCAGTCCTGTTCCATGGTGTTACAGATTGTACTGACCTGGACATTCAATCGGACATTGTGCTCAAGCGGGGCTACGTGCTGGTGTACCCAGATGCCTCACGAAAGCCTCCTGTCGGCCAGGGTCTCAACAAAAGGGCGACGGTCACAATGTACCAATGCTTCCCACCTGGGGAGCGTGTGGAAGACAAGCAGGTGTTGGAGGAGTACAGAACAAAGATCAAGATAATGACCGAGGAGAACAGAGCATGTAAGTTCATTGACTACGATTGCTTGACCGGCGTATGGACGTTTGAGGTCGGACGGTTCTGAGGGGTGATTCGGGACGACTTTTCCGAACCTGCGGCACTGAAAGAGGCAACTGCACACCAAAAACAAAACATGCCTTTTCGGTCCGTGGTCTCGTGCAATTTGATTTGTTATGAACACCTGCCAGCCCGCCGTTGTCCGACACCCAAGTCCCTGTACAAAAGGGTGGGGACTGTAAATGTGCGGACGGCCGAAAGCCTGCACCGGCGACATGGCCCGCATCATCACAAGATGGAAAATAAGAGCAATGCCTGGGATCCGAGAAACGGACAGAACCAATTGCAGCCGAAAGTCCAGAGACATCCAGAGACGCACGAGCTGTTACCTAATCATGTTCAGGGTTCGGAAGCCAGAACTTGTGCATGCTTGTCGCATTTTCCTGATCAGCTCCTTGATGGTCGGGCCTGGGTGCCGAGTCCTGGGACGAACCTGGCGACAACACTAGGGCGCTGATGCTATCAATACGCACATGAGCCCAAATCTTCTTAAGGTACACATCTCGGCCAGCGTCGGGACCCAATGGGCAGCATGTAGCCGGTCATGTCATAGACAGCCGCTGAAGCATCTTCAAGCCAATTGATTATTCTACAGGCGACACACCGGAATGCTGCAATGCATCAATCTCGAGAGCCTTCTTCCCAACCGACTTGAATCAAGCAGACCTGCAGCAAGAAATTGGTTAATCTTGCCATGTCGGGCCCGCTTGCGAGTCCGCGCCTGACGCCGCCTCGTCTGCCGACACCTCCGCCGTTGCTGATGCCACTCGTGCCGTGCCCTTTGCTTGTGCCTTGGTCTGAGGTATGTACTCTTTTTGCAGGAGACAAATGGTCATGCATCCAGCTGTTGTCGCATCATCAGGTTAGCACACCACCTCAGCAGCCAGTAACCAATCCAATCTCCTTCCACGCATGCTACAGCACCTCCCCTATGGGACCTTCGCATGTGGCCAGAGGGCCTTCGCCCACTCGCCGAGCGTGGTCGCCTCCACCACAGATGCCCAGAACCCTCTCACCACCACTCAGAGTGCAGGAATCCACCAGGCTTTGCAGCCCTCCCAGGCTTGCAGCTCAGGCTCAAGCTCAGGCTGTCCACGTGCAACAGCTCTCCCCACGGCCGCATCCGCGCGCTCCCCAGTTGCTTCCACGCTCGGCCCAACTCCCTGAGGCCAGCCTGGCCAGCAAGGCCAGCCTCAGACCACAGACCCAGCGGAGCCCTGGCCCCCAAGTAATCCAAAGCCATAGCCAGACCCAGACCCAGCGGAGGCCGATCCCACACCCAGCCGTCCATGTTCCTCCTGCGACGGTCTTGGCCTCGCACGGTGCAAAGCCTGTCCCCATAGGCGCACGCCCACCTGCCAGTTGGGTGCCGGCGTCGCCACGTGTCCCTGATCCATTCCAGAGACCCGCGTCCCCGCATTTGGTCAACACGCAGCACTTGCCAGTGGAGTACATCGCATCTCCAGAGCAGATGCGACTGGGCAGCGCTGATCTGCAAAGCTTGTATCTGCGAAACCTTCGGACGAAATCTGAAGTGTTCGTATGCGTCCCCGTGATGCTACAGCCAAGGTACCGCATGCTTGCTACACAAGGAAGCGCGGCACCTCCGATAGTCTTGCACCTGGGATGCAGCCGAGACATCTGTCAGCACTCGTCATGAGATGTTATGAAGAATTGAATTGAAGGCAGCTTTCAGCGAGATCCAGTCCAGAGCTCACGCCCCGGAAGCCCGCAGCCGAGAAGCTCAGCGCGAGCCCTCAGGAGGAGGCGGAATGTGAGGCAGAAGGCCGGCAGTGACCGCAGCTCCCTGGCAGGAGCCCGCGGATTCCTTGGCGAAGCAGCTGCGAGCCCTTCAAGCAGCAAAGGCCGGTGCACCTCTAAAGAGCTCGTGCAGGGGTAAACTTGGGCGAGGAAGAGAGGCATCAAAGGCACCAGCACGAGAAGAGTTGGGTTGAGCTTGCCAGGTTGATGCTGCTGCCAAGCAGGCTCGAGAAACTTGCAAGCTCGAAGCCGGCAGCCTCCGAGCTGATGCCAGGTAAAAGGCGACCAGCTGATAGCGCAACGTCAAGACCAGTTGAGAAAGGAGCCGAAACCAATTTTGCAGGCCTTCTGTGATCCATTGCTTATTGGAAACTGGCATCGTGGGGTTCCGTGATGTTACATGTCCTGAAGGCAGTTGGGACCCATTGTCGTTAGTCCATGTTGTCAAGGGAGAACCCAGCCAAAACAATCTTAAAAGGCAGCTTATCATCGCAATGTAGCGTGGTCTCTGAAATCTTTGACCATGGAGACTTAGTGTCCCGTTGTCCAGCTACATGCCATGAGAACGAGTGCAGACGCATCGAGTCAGGAACACGAGTCTGAAAACAGGAACCCCCCGAGCCGGAAACAAGCAGGGCCGAGACGGCAAACAGTGAAAACATGCGCGAAAACATGCCTGTGAAACTCGCCATTGAAGATCTGTTGCGAGGAATCTGGGTTGCGCTGTGAGGGAGACGAAGACAAAGGAGAGAGAGAGAGAGACAGCGCGCGGGCTAGGGGAGCTCCCCTAGTCTACAGCCCTAACGAAAGAAAGAGAGAGACCTCTCCTGTATTTGCCTTGACCCTTTGCTTCCTAAGCCTCAGGCCC